TATTGTATGAGGTTGTATCTAAATTATTTTGTTTCCAGGTGTGTTGCCAACCATCTCAGCATCATTTATTAAACAATCTATCTTTTCCTCATTTATTTGAAATACTTTTATCATATATTTAACTTTTCACGTTCTGTGAAAAATCCTATTGATTTTTTCAGGTTGTATCTAGTTTATAGGATTAATTTGGGGGGATAATTGAAGTGACTTCTTTAAAACATTGAGTCTTTGCATGTGGAAAAATAAAATATTTCTCCATTCACTTCAATTTTTCTCTGTGTCCTTCAATAGAGTTTTATCATTTTCTTTTTACTTCTTGTTAGGTTTGTTCCTGGGTGTCTTACAGTTTTTGTTGATATTATAAATTATTTTCATTATATTTCTTATCTGGTTATTAATGGTATGTAAGAAAACATTCCATTTTTGTATATTAATCCTCTCCAACTTAGTTACTGAACCCTTTGATTGTTTCTATATTTATTTTTCAGTTGATTCTCTTGGATTTTCTGAATAGTCTTATTGTCTCTTTGTTCCCAGTACTTGCAGTGTTTTTTTAGGTTTTGCTTCTGGCAGGGTGTCTTATTGAATTGACTAGGACTTCTGGAATAGTAGCCTTATTCCTTATAGCTACAGAGGACTGACGGGCAGAACAGCTAGAGCTATTTGAACATGGAAGAGGCAACCTTTTATTTTGTCAGTGCATTGTACTAATTATATTCATAGAACAATTAAATTGAAAGCAAATTCATTTGTTAGTTATAGAGTAAGACTAAATGACTTCTAAGTCTAAGTAAGAGTTGAGAGAATAAAGAGAGAATAGAGAAGTGACTTTAAAAACTCCTGTGTAGAGAGTAGTGGGAGAGAAAAGGGTAGAAAGCAGAAGTAGGATGTCAAGAAGAAATAGTGTGACACCTGATTAGGAGAATAATCATGACTATGCAGTATTATAGAAGCCAGGGGAGATGAAAGTTTTGTAAAGTATAAGATGGTCATCACTAACTGATTCTACCTAGAAGTGCATAAAAACAAAGTGAGCCAACAAGAAGACATTTATTTGTTAATGAGGAGGTTATTTGTGATCTGCTTTAGTGTCTCTTCATCTGCTTCTTCTAAATTGTAGTTCTTAACTTTGTTCTTTAATTTGTATTTTCATCTAGATTATCAGTTTGGTGGGCCACTAATCAAGCCTTATTTCTGTTGTGTAAATCTCATGAGGCTTTGAACAGTTTTATTCTTAGAGGAATAGATGATCCATAAATATTTGTTGGTTGATTTTTATGTAAATCCTAGAGGAATTAGACCTTAATTTCAGGTTATGAATGTAATTTAAGTTCTATGTTTTGAGCTTACCAGGTGAGCTATAATCATGTGCCAGTTATAGATAAAATGTAGTAAGAAGAAATTTTAAACATGATCATCCAAAAGGACAAGATAAACTAATTTGTAGACTAGAAATGCAAAATGATGACTAGAGATAAAAACATGGGCCTACTGGCCTCCAGGTCTGAAGTGGCTAGAGGTGACTGGGTGTTCAGTTTCTATGGGGTATTGGGAGGTAAATCTGTCACGTGGGAGTCAGAGGACCAGAACTAGGCTCACTGGTTAAAAGCAGCAATTGGAAATGGGGCTCCCTGCTCCTGAAAAGAAATTTGTATAAAAGGTGCTACCAACTGTACCCTGAAGCTATAGTTAATATAAAAATATTTATCTAGAGAAATGGGAGGGCACCAACACAGCCTTCAGACCAATACTTAAGCCAAACTTTGGTGACTTATTACCTGAATCTACAGTAGCCAATAATGTCTGGAGCTACCAGTCACCAAGACGAGACCTGGTTTTTGACTAAGGCCCCATGGGCACTGGTGAGACAGGGTGAGGTAAATGGAGGGAAGGAAGAAGAGACAGCAAGGGAGAGCAGGAGAGAGAGAGAACTCCCTCACTCAAGATCTGCAAACTAAAATTCCATAGCACAATTTTAAAAAGAAAAAAGCTAAACCTAGAAAGGCATCTAACAAAATCAACAATCAGAAGTGAATTCACTCCCAGATGAAATAAAAGTAGTAAACTAATTTTTTTAAAGACTTATTTAAGAATAGGTATATTTAGGATTCTCCAAAAGATAATAAACTCCTTTTAAAAGAATGAGAAATTGGGATAAGTTAGCAGAAGTGAAATAAGAATAGACAAGTATAAGAACCAAGTAGGTATCTTGAAATGAAGTTATGGAAATTGAATAGTAGATAGAGTGAACTCTAAGATAGATACGGTTGAAGAGGGAATTAGTGAAATGGAAAACTATTCTGAAGAGTTCATCCACAATGCAGAATATAGAGACAAAATACTCAAAATTATATAATTATGCAGCTAAGAGACATAAAAAATAGGTTGAGGCACTTCAGTATACATCTAACAGGAGTTTTAGAACAAGAGGCCGTAAAAATGACTAAGAAGCAATAACTAAAGAACTGATGTCTGAGAATTTTCCAGAAATGAAAAATTTGAGGCCTCAGATTAAAAGTACACTCTCCATACTAAGCAGATAAATAAAAACCAGTCACAATAAGAAACATTTAGTGCAATTATAAAACAAAAGGATAAAGAGAAACTTAAAAGCAACCAGAGAGAAAAATCTCCAAAAGAATATCAACTAGACAGACTTCTTGACAGTAATGATAGAAGCTAGAAGACTGTGAACTAATGTCTTTAAAATGCTGAGAAATGATAAATACCCGTCTCAAACACCATTCAAGATTGAGGGCAGAATGAGGGCCGGCCCTGTGACCAAGTGGTAAGTTCGCATGCTCTCCTTTGGTGGCCCAGGGTTTCGCTGGTTCAAATCCTAGGTGCAGACATGGCACCGCTCCTCAGGCCATGCTGAGGTGACGTCCCACATAGCACAACCAGAGGTGTTCACAACTAGAATATACAGCTGTATACTGGGGGGCTTTGGGGACAAGAAGAAGAAGAAAAAAAGAAGATTGGCAACAGATGTTAGCTCAGGCACCACTCTAAAAAAAGATTGAGGGCAAAATGAAGACATTTTCAGGCAAAATCTAAAATAATTTGTCTCTGAAATACCTCTGTAGGAATTTGTGAAAGGCATCCTTTAGCAAGAAGAAAAGGGGCAGCCAGCCCAGTGGCACAGCAGACAAGTTCACCCGTTCCACATCAGCAGCCTGGGGTTCGCCAGTTCAGATCCCAAGTGTGGACCTACCCACTGCTTGCAAAGCCATGCTGTGGAAGCCTTCCCACATATAAAGTAGAGGCAGATGGGCACAGATGTTAGCTCAGGGCCAGTCTCTTCCTCAGCAAAAAGAGGAGGATTGGCGGCAGATGTTAGCTCAGGGCTAGTTTTCCTCAAAAAAAAAAAGAAGAAGAAAAGGGAACCCAAAGGTAGGAGTAGGGTGTACTTTTTGGCAAAGTTAATTAACAATGATACTAACAAAGATAATTATTTTTATTAAGGTTGTTCTGAATCTCTGGAAAATAAGGAATATAGGTAGCTGAAGTGTGCTAGGAACGTTGTCTTGTTCAAACGCTGAATAATTTTAACTGTCATTCTTTTGGTAATAAAACCAAGTATGAGTATATCTTTTAAATGTTTATATGTATTTATTGAACACCTGCTATGTGCCAGGGACTGATCTAGGCTCTGGGGATAAAATAGTGGCAGAAAAAAACTCTTCATGGAGTTTACATTTTCATGAGAGTAAACTGCCTAAAAGAAGTAGTATAACCCAGACACACAGACTTGAAAGAAATACATTGGTAAATAGGAAAGGATGTACCTGGAAAATATGCTGGTGTGATGAGGTGAAAAACTGATGTGACAATATTAACGTCAGATAAAATACAGTTTAAGGTGAAGAGCATTACAGTCATATGCTGCATAATGACATTTCAGTCAACGACGGACAGCATATAATACAGTGTGGTCCCAGAAGATTACTACCATAGAGCCTAGGTGTGTAGTTGGCTATACCATCTAGGTTTGTGAAAGTACACTCTATGATGTTCGCACAACAACGAAATCACCTAACGACAGCATTTCTCATAACATATCCCCATCATTAAACATATGACTGTAATAAAGTAAAATGAGCAGCTAGAGCATTATTGAATTTACGTAACAGCTTTCATCGGCTTGAAAGTGAAAACTGACAGGATTAGAAGGAAAACTGATGAGTCCACAGTTATGTAAGAGATTTTAGCATACCTCTATTAAAATGGATAAGTAAACAGAAAATTAGTCAAGAATATAGATTTGAACAACTAATAAAGTTGATCTAATACATACAGAAAATTTTGTACCCAACAAATAGAGAAAATGCATTATTTTTGAGCATGCAAGGAATGCTTCCAAAAATTGACTTTGTCCTAAATCACAAAAGAAGTTTGTAAAATTTAAGAATCATATAGACCATATTCTCTGACTGCAATAATTAAACTTGAAACCAGCAATAAAAAGAAATTTTTAAAAAACTCATCTGACTAAAAACTAGAAAATACACTTATAAATAACTCACAGGTTAAAGAGAAAGCTTGAAAAAAGTCAGCAGAGTAAACATGAGGTAGAAGAAAGGACATATTACAGATAAGAACAGAAATTAATAAAATGAGAAGAAAAGATTAATACTTCCCTAATTTTATATTGTCAATGTCAGTGATAGAACTAGCAAAATTGGCCAAGAATATAGGTATTATTTGAGCCTCTATTCCTATTCGTGCTTTATTTTCTATGTTAATAATCTTTTTCTTTAGAAGTGTATGAGCTAATAAGAAAAATATAGGACTCAAAATATAGAATATAAATTTATTGTAAAATTTTCAGGAGTGTCTCTCTCCGTATAACAAGAAAATTAACTATAGAAGTGTATAAGTGAAAACATGAAATTTGTAGCATTATTTTACTGTTGTTTATTTTTTGAAAAGAGTTTATAATGGGCTTTAATAGAAAGTTCTCTTTATATATTTAAGATATTTTTCTTTCCTTCTTGTAGGTTACTCAAATGAGTCGTCCAGACCTGATTCTTTTTCTGATGAAATACCTGATGGCTCTCATAGTTGGTATTCCCTCCATTTTTTGGGTTGGAAGTAAAAAGACATGCTTTGAATGGGCCAGTTTTTTTCATGGTCGTAGGAAAAAAGAGTAAGTTGAATTAAATTATCACTATGTTCACAAACCTCACATTCACATAAATTTTTTGTGTGGCTTATGTTAAGACAATTTGGAGGAAGTATTCCAACAAGATTGTAACCTCAGCTGCTATCAGTTATGATTGGCACAGTATAAAAGCTAAAAACTTATTTGAGAAGATAGCCAAGTAGAACCAGGCTTAAGGTCTATTCCTTACTAATTCAGAATATTTGAGGGAAGGCCAGTCTGTGTTTTAAATCATCCAAATTATGATTTTCTTAAAATTAAAAACAAATTAATGCTTTTATATATATTCTTATTTGAACCTCTTGATACTCCTTTGAGGGTTGGTATGTGTTATCATCTCTGTGTTACAGGGGAGAAACTCAGACAAAGAGAGATTAACTGCCTTGGCCAAAGTCACACAGGTATTAGATTAGACTTCCATTTCCAATTATCCATTGTTCTTCCAAGTATACCATAAATGATTCAAAAAGATGGCATGTTATTCCATTCTGATGTAGTGCACGTTAAAGCCAAAATAGAAAAATGATATTAGTAGGTAAAATTAAATATGTTAAAGAAATTATTTTATTTCATAGTTGGCCACATGGCATATTAGAGTATCATGGTAAAGTATAAGATGTGACAAAGCAAACTTGTGAGGGCATATTTAAGGAATCTTTAATTTTTTGAACCCTTATTTAGTAAAACAAAACAAGACCCTGCAATATTTGCAAAGGAACAAATGATTTCAAACTTTTTACTTAGTATAAGTCTTATGTATACTATGTCTGAATTATCACAAATTCTAACTTAGTCAAGTCTATATTCTTATGATTTTGCTTAACCTAGGGTCCATGGAAAATGGGCTTTGGGGGATGGTCTGTAAAACTCAAGATTATATTTAAGATTTTGTGCCTTATATGGGTTAGTGTACTTTTCTTATACAACTTAAATTGCCTCATTAACAAAATCTGTATTTTCTAAAATACCAATAGTTAGCAGTTTCTGTCACACAGATTAGATTGAGATAAAATAATCTCAATTTTAAAATATACATTTCTTGTTACCATATCTGAGACTGCTACTACCGATATCAGATAATGCATTTCTCCTTTAAATACAGTTTCATACGGCAGAGAAGGAAAGACTCATTCAAGAACAACAACAAAAATGTGTTTCCTAGGCATTTATTCCTCCTTCAAGAAAGTCTTTACTGAATGCTTGCTGTGTGCTGTGAACTATTTTGGGATGCCAGGGATTCAGTAGCAGACAAGACAGGCCAAGTCCCTGCTTTTGTGGAGTATCCTTCCTTGTGGGATTTACTGTGATTTATCTGTGTGTTCTTTGAAATCTTTTAATATGTTTTAATCACAGTAAAACATAATGCTGAGGAAAGGGCTTGAATTAGACATTCCTGCTCACCTCTGGACCGTACACAAACAATGCCGTGATAGGGTGGTATTAGAAATTCCAGATAGAGCTTAACCAAACCACCCTTTTGGGGTATCTTCCTAGTTATTTTGGGGATCCCGGTTGGGCCGGAATCCTTTTGAAACTGGTTAGAATTCCCAAGGAATCTTCTATTTGATTTTCTGCAGCCATGGATCCCCACCCAACAGAGTCGCTGTGATCCTCCAAGCCAGGACTGTCCTCTGGGCTAGAGTAGCAGCTCCTTATTCTGGAGCTCAAGAGTGTGAGCATACTATAGCTATTTCTAGCATTTGTCTGATTTAGCCTTTGAGAAGTGTCTACAAAGTAATGTTAATGATGGTTACCAATTAATTGAGCACATTTAATACTCCAAGCACTGTTCTAAGCATCTTACATATTATTAAATCATTTAATCTCTAGACAACCTTGTACAGGAGATCATCATTTTACACATAAGGAAACAGGCATGGAACCAAGGTTTCATAGCTAGTGAATGCTACAATTGAGATTCAAACCCAAGCAATCTGACTCTAGACTCTAGTCTTTGCTCTTAACCCCTCTGTTACACTGTGCTATAAAGAGACTGGTTTCTAAAATTGTGCTAGTCAAATTAGTGTTCTCCCACTAAGTGAAACCACATCTAAGACTGCTTATGCTAATAATTCTGACACATTGAAATATTTTTAGAAATCTTCTTTTGGAATTATCTGGGTCACATCACTTAATTTCTCTGGACCTCTCTTTTTTATCTATAAAACGAGGTGACAAACCTTCACAATTTGAAGGTGGATTAAATTTTTGGAATGACCAGAAGTCAGTTTGAACCCAGTTTTAAAAATAAGTTTAGAAAATAAAGTTAATGATCAAGATTGATTTGGGATGTACATATATATGAATAGGGCCATTGATGACAGAGGAACAAACATTGTTTTTTTAAAACTATTTTTGACTTGTTCTTCTGTGTAGTTTTTGACACTTTGTTTTCAGGATATCCATAAACATTATGTTTTATTATTACTTTATGATTGGCTTCTAAGCCATTTAAACTTAAGTTTGATCCCCAACTGTTGGTTTTGTTGTGTGACTTTTGGCAAGTTCTTTAATCCCTCAGAACCTCAGTTTCTTCATCTATAAAATGGGGATGACAGTATTTGTTCTTAAAAATGGATATCTAATCTCCTCTTAGAAAAATCCTCTCAGGACAGTAATCTTCATAATAAAAACATTATTAAGAAGGATCAAAGGAGAATGTATGTAAAATACCTGACACAAGGCAAATACTCAACAAATATTAGTCTTCCTTCAACGCTTCTACCCCAGCACTAAAAACAAGAGCAATAACAACAATCCTTTTGTAATTTGAAAACTTAGAATATATGCACTTTCTCACTGTATAATCCAGCCTTTACATGTTGGAGTTTTATTTTTTTAATGAAATTGTTTATCTAATTTTAACTTTAACTCAGATTCTCGTAGTCAGTCACTTATTTACATAAACTGAGACACTGATCTTTGCAACTAATTTAAGTGGCTCTTTTGTTAATTTAATTACTGCTTTATTCATCATCATAAATATCTGCTTTTAACCCTTTTGTAGCAGTTAAAAACTTTTGCTTTTGACAATAATTTATCCCCTTAAGTTTTTTCCCTTATGTCTGAGACTTTAATATGTCTGAGACTTAATTGTATTTTGCTTAAATTAATTTTTCATATATTTTGTTCTAACTATGACCACTCATGTTTATTCCAGCACTAGACAACTGCTTCTGCCATAAAATCAACTTGTAGCCCTACAACAACTGCTCTAACAAGTTAAAAAATGTGCTATCTGTCCTATGACGAGGCCTCTGCTACTTCTATAAACCATGCAAGAAAACAACCTCTCTACTTTGTAGTAATATCTTTGTAATATTTCAAAGTCCTTGAGAATCATACGTTTCTTTAGCTGAAAGAGACTTTTTAGAAATGATGAAATTGTATACTTTCATTTTATAGATGAGGAAAATAAAGGAAAGGGGATAGTGACTTGCCTCAGATCACAGATTTATTGATAGAGTTGGAACTAAAATCCTGATTTCCTAGTCTAACGTAGTCCTCTTTCCGTCATTTCACTTTAGGTTGACAGATTGACATGCATTTTTGTTATATTCTTTCCTTTGTCAACAGTGTTACCTTATATCTGTCCTAAAGACATTACTTAGAGAGCAGTTAATTTCAAGAATAACATCAGTGTGTCACAAAAGTATTGTTTATTGGTCTATAAGGATGTTAGTCTGTATCTTAAATTTAGTATTTTGTTGTCTAGGATAGTGAATGAGAGCCGACAGGTACTCCAGGAACCTGATTTTGCTCAGTCCCTCCTGAGGGATCCAAATACTCCTATTATAAGAAAATCGAGAGGAACTTCCACTCAAGGAACATCCACACATGCTTCTTCAACTCAGCTGGCTATGGTGGATGACCAGAGAAGCAAAGCAGGGAGTGTCCACAGCAAAGTGAGCAGCTACCACGGCAGCCTCCACAGATCCCGGGATGGCAGGTGAGTTTTATTGATAGCGTAGTTTATTTTATATGCTGAATTAGAGACACACAGCTTAAGAAGGAACAGTAGCCAATTCTGAAACAGAAGTTGAATATATTAAGCTTTTAGAACTTTTCTAGGTACAGTTGTCCCAAATTATGGTAAGACTTAAAGCCAGTCAGAGCAGTTTAGAGTTCAGACTTGATACAGTAAGCAATATGGAGTCATTGAAGGGTATTGAGCTGGGAGAAGGCAGGGTGAAAGTGGTTATTCTAGTGAGATTAATTTAGCAAACAATTGTGGAATACCTACTGTGTCTAGACTCTGAGAATACAAAGATAATTTAGGCATGACCTTTGTTCTTAATAAACTCGCAGTCTGTTGAGAAAGATAGTGTAGTCAATATTAGTACTGTGGTTAAAAACATGGGGTCTGGAATGATAAGCCTCCGTTTCCTCTTCTGTAAAATGGAAATAGTAATAATATCGGCCCCCTTAGGAATGTTGTAAAACATAAATGAGATAATGTAATTGCTTGGAACAGTGTCCATCTCAGTAAGTACCTGATAGCAACTTCTATTAATATTGTAAGTGGGGGGCCGCCTCCGTGGCTGAGTGGTTAAGTTTGTGCACTCCACTGCGGCAGCCCAGGGTTCGGATCCTGGGCGAGGACATGGCACCACTCGTCAGGCCACGTTGAGGCGGCGTCCCACATCCCACAACTAGAAGGACGTGCAACCAAGATATACAACTGTGTACGGGGGGCGGAGG